TGGTATAATATCGGTACTTGTGACTACTAGTGTAGGCACCAAACACACGATCGCTTGCCTTATTTTCACCAATGATGCAGCAATCATGCAGTGGGTTACAGAAGGCCAATCCTTGTGTTCTTTATCCCGAATCTATACAGGAAAAGTAGACAAGAAATGTAAATAGATGTCACTTTGAAACAGAAAATATCGGCATTTTAAGATAAATTATCATAAAACCTGAACGACAAAACGAGAGAAGAAACATAGGAAACCTTCCACGGATACACAATAGGTAAATGTCTTCTGCTCCTTTAACGACACGGCAACGTAAATATGCTGATCTAAGTAAATTATATTTCGGTTCAAATGAGAAACAGGTTTATATCAGTGAAGACACCAGACATAGAACGCAAGATTCGTCATCTAAATATTGATGGCAACAATAGCACTTCCATATAATTTTGATCGTTTTCCATCTATTGAAACCTTGTGTTGTGAACATATCTGTCAACTGCGGTACGGAGTATGTTTCACAGAAATTTTAGACCCACTATTTACACAAGATTGATTCCCGATATCCCAAACATGCTACAATCCCAATTTGGGCAAAATCAAGTCGTTCCAAGAAGAAGGGGTTAAAATATATTTTGGGGGTCCTGTCCCTTCCTAACGGACCGAGACTGACCGTTGATCCCCCTTCACCTAAACATGATTCAGACAAAATTTGGACAAAATCAAATCATACCTTCAGGAGGATTAGACTTTTACAGAATTTTCTCTATTTCTCAAGTTGGACTCGGCCCCACCCGCCGAGACTGACCATTTGTAAGAAATTAATTTATCTTCAACAAAAGATGCTTCTTACCAAATTTGGCCAAAATCCAAAAACTCCTACAGGAGGAGTAGGATTTTAAATTTCCCCGTTTAGACCCCAACTCTCAGGCTCTAGGGGCCAGGATACACCATTTGCATGAAATACCTTCTACTTCCCCTAAGGATGCTTCTGACCAAATTTGGTCAAAATCCCCTCCGTCGTTCATGACTAACTGCGTTTTGTATGAAAAAAGTTGACAGCCACGGTATCCTAAAGCCCAACTTGGCCCTTCGGGCCTGCTGTGTTAAAACTTAATACAAGTTGATATAACTGTAACGCCTTTTCATTATATGCAACGCATAGAAAATATCCGAAATAATCGTTAGGTAACGGTTTTTTAATTGGACAATTCTTATGAACTTATCCCCGATAGTATTCATAAATACCCAAGTCATTGTCATGATAATCGCTCTGACGCTAGCCCAGATATGACGGACATCTTTCCGCTTCAAGCAGATGATCGACCTCGACATTGGAGAAATTCATTATAAGGACATTATAATGAAATGTGTCATCGAAATGTGAGGTTGGAGAGTGTGGTGATGATAATCTTCAAGTGAGTTTGTCAGTAATGACAGGTAGCCTAATACGTAGTCTCGTGATATACTCTTCTACCTTTAATTCTATACAGAAGTATGTATTAAAACGAATCTCCGTTTGACAGAAACGTGCCTCAGAAGAGTATCCCAGAGTATAACATGTCGGTGACTTCCCACTATGACCGTTCAGACATGGCATGGCGAATTTCGGTTATGTACACTAGGAGTCAACATAAACAACAATTTCAACAGATAATCCACTCAGAAAAAACATACTAAGCCTTTTTATATACATATCTCTCGGCCTACATCTTGACATTAATCTTTTGACTACTTGACTTGAAAGTGCGCGGAGCTTTTACGTCATTAAATATTTAAAGGAGCACGCGCATTGGGTAAAGAACATATGAGGGACTGATTGGGGATAAAAATGTTATCTTTTAATCTCATTGGTAATTACAACAATCACATCACCTTTTAAACTCACACTGTTTCAGAATGGAGATGATTGTGATATGTTTGTCATGCGCACATACTGTGTACTTGAGATTAGTTTAGGTATTCATGAGATAATGAAAATTACCCAATTTAAACCTACGTTACATGATTATTATTTTAGAATTCGGTAAAATCATGTTGATTTGGAGTTAGAAAATGTTCCAATTATCCAAGAGTATAGACTGTATAATGAGGTTCCGAACAGGTCTCCCCTGTCTCGTACACCTATCAATACACACATTGTACATTATTGATTTAATTATACACGTAAATAACACGCTTCACATCAGTAACATGAAAACGTCCATCATCTGATGGAGGTGAAAATGTTTTGCTAAGGTACGTGGTTATGGTCATCCCACTGTGACCAAATCGATCCCGGTGCTTCCCTTGTAAATAATAGATTTTGTCATTCATCTTTCGAAAACTAAGGTAATTATTGTGACCCAATTACGTCAAAGGACAATTTTTTCGAATGCACGTACGTCATGTCTTTTAACGAATACCTCTCTAACTAGCAATTTAGTGTTAGATCAACGGTTTTTAATGAGAGGAACTGTCTGTGTAACTGATCCGTGGAACACACACAAATATGTCATGTACTGCGTCTTAAATCATGAAAAAATACTCGCCTATACGACACACTCACATTCATCTACACGTATAAATCATGTAACACATTCAGAACGTTAAAAATGTCTGTAACCAAATATTCATACATTCTTATTTATCTATTTATTTTTTTTTCATTTCAACATGTCATCCAGTTTGAACTCCTACTTATTCATTATGTTGTTTGTATCCAGGTGTCTCAGTGTATGACCAAATTCCTGGTTAAAATCGATACTTTCCTAGCGATACCATGCATGCCCATAGATATCAAAGTACAGCATGATATGTCTTAATTATACGATCGCAAGTTTTTTTGAGTTTGAAATATAATCGTATACAGAACACTTATCATACAGAACCCGTTTGTACTTTTTAAGCAGAACATTTGTTCGGAAAATTGGTTTGATACTCGAAAGAACGTGAACCCGCATTGTATTACAGGTTAGGAGAACCGTCACGTGATCTAATCAATAACATACAGCCTTGATCGGAATCCTAGCTAGTCCCTAAAGAGATTTCGTCCTGGATGTCTTCTTTGCAAGCAGGAGTAGGTTACTTAACTAATCAGACTACAACTTAAAGGGATAATGTAGTAAAGTGTCGGAACGTAATGTACGTACATAATGTACACCGCACTAACAGTGAAAAACAGTACTATATTACAATGTTACTAATCACACAAAATACCCATTGGCACAGAAATGACATATAATTAGGTTATAGTATTAAGTCTACTTTAAAGTAGTCCGCATCTGATGGTATCTATCTTATTTGGCGTGAAATAATCAGCCTCTTATAAGTGTGACACTAGGTCTGTGCAATGAAGCAATGAAAACACTTTCAACTCTCTTTGTCGTTGATTCTCAGTGACTATTGTATAAATCAAATTAGAAAAAATTCCAAAAGAGACATTCCTCTTGTTATCTTCAAAATTTGTTACTTGGGATTTTCAATGTGTGCGTTACATACTGTAGCATTGGTCATATTGGAATTCCGAGAGTAAATCTATCGAGGAAAGGGCGTGGGGGTAGGGGTGAGGGTGGGGATGGGGGATACTATTTAGCACTGTTCAAAAACCAGTACAGATAATGCCAATCAGTAACATGTTCAAGAAAAAGAAAAATGTTACAAAATAACAAAAACATCTGAACTTGTGCCTATATATATGTGTGTGTGTGTGTGTGTGTGTGTGTGTGTGTGTTGCATAGATTATTCTAAAAAACACACGCTACCAAAGAATGGTTTCTCATAAGCATCATTTAAGGGGGTTAAATACATATGATTGAGAGTGGAACTCTTTTAGAAAGAGTTGTATACGTCTCACACTAGGAAACATTTAGCATAACGTCATAATATTGGTATCTTCCTGGTTACCAACTACATAACTAGGTAAGTTTAATAGGATACTTTACTAATACGTAGCGTCTATAATGCATATCCTGTTTATTTGGAACATTTGCTCCAGTGACTACGACATAACGATATTTCCCATTGCAATAAAACTTACGTATATTCCAAACCGTATTGGTAACCGGATACACATTTGCGATTTTGTGTTCATGAAACATCACATTATTTTATTTAATCATGTAATATTTCGTAATATTCGGGATCGAGATAAACAGGTATCACATTCATTAATCAAGTTAGTAGACTGAACAATCGTGCGCATCCAGTGCATTTGGGTAAAGAAATATTGATCGAGACAATAAACATCATTTGGACTCCAACAATCTCACTTCAAAGAATATTTGGAAGCTCGTTGTAATTTTACTACTCGCAAAAATAGTTAAAAAGTTTAAGTAAAAGCAATTTGAAGAGATTACATGAAATTGGAGCAGTTGCCCTACAATTAGAGGAGGTCACACGGCAAAGGTCGTATTTCGTTTGTGTAAGGGGTGTTACCCTCTATCTAACACAAAGCACTGCCATGTATAAGATCCTTATCACAGCTATAACCTGCCGTTCATTTGTGCAATATTTCCCTGTTATTGGACTTTCTTCAATTATGCGTGTCGTATGTTTCCCTATCATACTTAATGCATGTTTCAACTTTCATGGGTAAATTTTAAACGCGTCGGAACATTACAGATACCATACACGTATTTTGAAGACTCATAGTCTATTACTTTAAGCGCAGGACTAAATCTTGATAAGAATGCGTTTTAGAATCAATTCACATATACCAAGCTACGGATAAAAGATTATATTCATTATTTGAAATTTCCTACATGAAAATAAAACTTCCAATGGATGGTAATTATAACAGAAACGTGTGCATCTAGATGAACTCAAGGTACGTGTATTCAGACCGGTCGGTTACGAAAACGATCAATTCTCACGGCGTTGCCAACTTCCGGTCATAGGTAACAACCGAACACAAGCACACAATGCTAACGGTACCATACATAGGGAGATGTCTGTAACTACACTTTCTATAAGGCACATGAGAACAACGTATTCGTATACGTGTCTTCTTTAAAGCAAAAACTTACCTCATTGTGTCTCGTGACTGCAACCACGTATTATCCGAAATACACACTATTGCGTTAGTCTTGCTCCCGTAGATACGACGCCTGTTGTTAGGGTTTCCCCTGAACGTAGTCCTCCTCTGTCTGCTCCCTGCCGATACAGTGGCTGCAAGTCTAGCCGTATCACCACTAGACGCGATAACCTGGTCCGGAGGCTGAGCAAGCCTCTTCCAATCATAGCAACCGACTGGCTCGTACTGTCACGCACACCGCAGTTCTAGATCAGCTGTATTTTATCAATTCTAGATAGTTTATCATTTACAAAAAATGAATTGCCCTATTTTGTAGGACTGGTGAACAGTGTATGAAATTTAAGGGAACAATTTTTATAATACCGATTTCTGAATCATTACTTATTATCTATGATTAAATTTATTTTCATCAGATTTGAAATATTGTGTAGTATTGTAGATTTTACGCCAGTGTAGTTTCTTCCTATCTAACTAGAAGCTCTATGAATTACCCGCTATGACCGACCACTTTTGTTAACAAATATTTTTGAACATAGACGCAGTTTTTAATACGGCAATGGAAACAAATGGAAAATTTTGCGCACAAATATCAAAATCAATACTATGTCACCGTGTTACGGTCATTTTACGTTTTTGGTTACCCTGCTCTTGATAATTATGCTGCTAAATGCACGTTTTATTTAATATTCCTTCGTGTTGATCTACCGAGCTTTAAGCAGGCCTAGCAATTGAAAAAAATACTGTTAGATAAATGATTTTTGATGGGAAACTATTTTTCCTGGATACTTTACTCGGGGACAGTCATGTAGGGATGTGAAATCCGAATGTTGTCTGGTTTCCGACTCATGTTTATCTCCTGGCATGAGAGACGGCAAACGATCGGAAAACATCATTCTTTTCTTTTTATTTGTACTTTGAGGTATTTTGTTTCAAGATAGAAGGCATTTTATACATATTTTGTACTAGTAACATGAAAAATAGGGGTTCCAAAAAGGGGGAGTCAAATTTTGTATTAATAACAGGACAAATAGATGTCCCAAAAAGGGGGAGACACATTTTGTACTCGTAACAAGACAAATAGGGGTTCCAAAAAGGGGGAGACAAATTTTGTACTAATAACCGGACAAATAGGGGTCCCAAAAAGGGGGAGTCAAATTTTGTACTGGTAACAGGACAGATGGGGGTCCCAAGAAGAGGGAAACAAATGTTCTACTTATAAAAGTACAAATAGGGGTCCCATGAAGTTGGAGTCAAATTTTGTACTGGTAACAGGACAGATGGGGGTATCAAGAAGAGGGAAACAAATTTTGTTCTAATAATAGGACAAATAAGGGTCCAATGAATGGTGACATATTTTGTATTAATAAAAGGACAAATAGGGGTCCCAAAAAGAGGAAGTAATATTTTGTACTAGTAACAAGACAAATAGGGGTTCCAAAAAGGGGGAGTCAAATTTCGTACTGGTAACAGGACAAATAGGGGTCCAATGAATGGTGACGTATTTTGTACTCGTAACAGGACAAATAGGGGTCCCAAGAAGAGGGAGGCAAATTTTCTACTTATAAAAGTACAAATAGGGGTCCCATAAAGGGGGAGTCAAATTTCGTACTGGTAACAGGACAAATAGGGGTCCCATGAATGGTGACGTATTTTGTACTAGTAACAGGACAAATAAGGGTCCAAAGAAAGAAGAGGGAAACAAATTTTGTACTAGTAACAAGACAAATAGGGGTTCCAAAAAGAGGGAGTCAAATTTCGTACTGGTAACAGAACAAATGGGGGTCCCAAGAAGAGGGAAACAAATTTTGTACTAATAACAGGACAAATAGGGGTCCCAAGAAAAGGGAGACAAATTTTGTACTAATAATAGGACAAATAGGGGTCCCAAAAAGAGGGAGTCAAATTGTCTACTAGTAGCAAGACAAATAGGGGTTCCAAGAAGAGGGAAACAAATTTTGTTCTAATAATAGGACAAATAAGGGTCCAATGAATGGTGACATATTTTGTATTAATAAAAAGACAAAGAGGGGTCCCAAAAAGAGGAAGTAAGATTTTGTACTAGTAACAAGACAAATAGGGGTTCCAAAAAGGGGGAGACAAATTTTGTACTGGTAACAGGACAGATGGGGGTCTGTACTAGTAATAATACAAATAGGGGTTCAAAAGAGGGAGTCAAATTTCGTACTGGTAACAGGACAAATAGGGGTCCCATGAATGGTGACGTATTTTGTACTCGTAACAGGACAAATAGGGGTCCCAAGAAGAGGGAGACAAATTTTCTACTTATAAAAGTACAAATAGGGGTCGAATAAAGGGGGAGTCAAATTTCGTACTGGTAACAGGACAAATAGGGGTCCCATGAATGGTGACGTATTTTGTACTAGTAACAGGACAAATAAGGGTCCAAAGAAAGAAGAGGGAAACAAATTTTGTACTAATAATAGGACAAATAGGGGTCCCAAAAAGAGGGAAACAAATTTTGTTCTAATAATAGGACAAATAAGGGTCCAATGAATGGTGACATATTTTGTATTAATAAAAAGACAAAGAGGGGTCCCAAAAAGAGGAAGTAAGATTTTGTACTAGTAACAAGACAAATAGGGGTTCCAAAAAGGGGGAGACAAATTTTGTACTGGTAACAGGACAGATGGGGGTCTGTACTAGTAATAATACAAATAGGGGTTCAAAAGGGGGAGTCAAATTTCGTACTGGTAACAGGACAAATAGGGGTCCCATGAATGGTGACGTATTTTGTACTCGTAACAGGACAAATAGGGGTCCCAAGAAGAAGGAGACAAATTTTCTACTTATAAAAGTACAAATAGGGGTCCCATAAAGGAGGAGTAAAATTTCGTACTGGTAACAGGACAAATAGGGGTCCCATGAATGGTGACGTATTTTGTACTAGTAACAGGACAAATAAGGGTCCAAAGAAAGAAGAGGGAAACAAATTTTGTACTAGTAACAAGACAAATAGGGGTTCCAAAAAGAGGGAGTCAAATTTCGTACTGGTAACAGAACAAATGGGGGTCCCAAGAAGAGGGAAACAAATTTTATACTAATAACAGGACAAATAGGGGTCCCAAGAAAAGGGAGACAAATTTTGTACTAATAATAGGACAAATAGGGGTCTCAAAAAGAGGGAGTCAAATTTTTTACTAGTAGCAAGACAAATAGGGGTTCCAAGAAGAGGGAAACAAATTTTGTTCTAATAATAGGACAAATAAGGGTCCAATGAATGGTGACATATTTTGTATTAATAAAAGGACAAATAGGGGTCCCAAAAAGAGGAAGTAAGATTTTGTACTAGTAACAAGACAAATGGGGGTCCCAAGAAGAGGGAGACAAATGTTGTACTAATGATAGGACAAATAGAGGTACCAAGAAATGGGAAGCCAATTTTGTACTAGTAACAGTACAAATAGGGGTCCCAAGAAGAGGGGAACAAATTTTGTAATAATAATAGGACAAATAGGGGTACCAAGAAGGGGGAAGACAAATTGTGTACCAGTAACAGTACAAATAGGGGTCCCAAGAAGAGGGGAACAAATTTTGTAATAATAATAGGACAAATAGAGGTACCAAGAAATGGGAAGCCAATTTTGTACTAGTAACAGTACAAATAGGGGTCCCAAGAAGAGGGGAACAAATTTTGTACTAATAATAGGACAAATAGGGGTCCCAAGAAGAGGGGAACAAATTTTGTAATAATAATAGGACAAATAGGGGTACCAAGAAGGGGGAAGACAAATTGTGTACCAGTAAGAGAACAAATAGGGGTTAAGAAGCTGCTCATAAATCTAAATCAATACCTTCTCAAGCGTGATAATTTCCATTGCGCATGAACAAATGTTTAGAAACAAAGTTCAAAAATACTATTTCGGGTTTTTTAAATTTCCGATGCCAGGAAAAGATTGGCATCCGCCCATTAGCAATACATATTACAAGGTAATTATAATCATTGAATTAGTGAAGTGTGTTCTATGAGAAATATTTAGATAGCATTTAAGTTTCGACTTCTCTAAATAGCTTATTAGATATCTTGTATTCCTATAATTATTTGTGTTAACATTTTCATGTGTCATTTTTGAGTACCTAATTGTGCTAATAGCTTTGAATTGTCTACGCATCCAAACTCTAACTTAAAGCCTATAATTTTCAAAATTTCATTTTTTTCTCTGTTTGTTTATTTTTATAATATTTATACTGGTAGTAAGCTGAACGCATTCCCCCGAAACAAATAGGTATAAGTGTTGTTTTGGACAGCAACTAATACATAAAATGTACTGTAATAAACTCCATAACACTAGTATCCGCTTTTACTTATGTTACATAATCATGGTGCTATTGTTAACAGGCGTCATGTTTGCTTCAAGTTCCTGAATTAATTTCGGTCAGTTTATTTGCACCAAAGTTAGATTTTTCGAATACTGATATTAACAAAGCCATGGTTACAACACAGTAACAAAATGTACAGGGAAGTGACAGTTTTTTTATCGTTGTGTAATTTTTTCATATACAATATACGGTGTTGTATATACTCAACAACACCATAGTGAAGTGGCGAGGCGACAAAATAGAGTTGGACGGGACATTTCGTTAATTCTATACTGTCAAATAACGTTGACTTCTACATTAACCTTAAGGTGACGTCATAAATCGAGTGCCCCTTTACCGTGACGTCATATTTAATACACTTTTCATCAATAATGTATAAATCTATATTAAGGTATGATGTGTATTACTCATTCTATTCTTATCACATCTAATAATAAATCCAAAATAGATTGACCTTACAATCCACGCGGGTGCCGTTTTTATCCGCCGTATCACACTTAAGGCCATTGTTCATCTCACTCCGGAGTTTCTTTTTCATCTGTACAATCAAGCACGCCTCTCGTCCGTCTGCATGTCAGCATCTGAAACCACGTTTGATTGCTTACTGAACGCCTTTGATGAACAGACACTTTACTGTTCTTTGACAAAATGAAAACAATCGCATTATCTGCTTCGTAACAGGTCCTATTGATCACAGTGATAAGAGATGGTTACGTTTTTAAGATTTTTTATATTTTAGGAAATCGTTTCAAGTTA